AATCTTACGACAACAACATAAAATACAATCCTTCTCACTTTTTGGGAATATGTACTAAACTTTGAAATTTATTTTTACGCAATTCTTGCATACGGTAAAAAGTGGAAATCTATGAAAATCCATTCAACTTTATACAATTTGAGAATCTAAAAATACGATTCCAATCCGCCTTTTAAAATCCATTAATAAATAAAAATATCAAACCGTTCAATTTTTTTATCCATATTCTAAATTTTCCTTTCTTATTAGTCAATATGTATGCTATTTTTATTTTTGTATAATCATACGTAATTTAATATTGCATAATATGGTAAATTAAGTATTTCAATTTGGTAATAAATAACTTTGCCCATATTTTGGTTCAATGATATTTGGTCATATTTTTTAATACGACAAATTATTTTGTTCGAGCTTTACCTGAGATTCCAATTTTGAACACACACACATATATATATATACTAGTACAATATCCATATATTACACGGGTGTTGAATTAGAAAGCTTTTATAAAAAATATTATTTTTTTTTTAAAAACTAAAATAATTTAATTTTATATAAAACATTACTTTGAGTTTTAATTAAATTGTCAAATTTTATTTTTTTGATCATAATTTAATACCCGTACATTAAATGAAAATGTCAATCTGTGTTGAATTTTGTTACTTATATCATATAAAAATATCGATATTATTTACTATTACATAAGTACAAAAATATATATCTTAAATAAATAGAAACAATATGGTTATATGTATATGCATAAGTGTAGAATATATTTATTTAATATTAAACAAAAAATAAATTATTTTTTTTACTTAATTAGATGCATAATACATCAAGTGTCGTATACAAGCGGACTTCATAATTGATCAAATGCAACACATTAATTAAGATTTTTTTTCTTGACAATATTAACCTTATTTAATGGATGTTATGGAAAACAATGGAAATGGAATATAAAGAGACACTGTGTATTAGATGGAGGGTTAAAAATAGAAAAATATGAACAAAATATCTAAAACGACATTTATTTTATCAATGATCAATTAAGTCAAAGTGAAAATAATAAAAATAGGAGGGAGTATATATTATTATATATTTTAGTATGACACATGTTACTTGTGCGACTTATATGTGTTATATTATAATAAATTTTCTACCTTATAACATATAACTACATTAAACATAAATATATTAATTGATAAATAATTTTATTTTTAATTAATTTTAATAAATAATTTTATTATTATTATAAAGATAAATATAATTTATTTATTTTATATGTGCAATATGGATGTCAAATCGAAGCTCATCAAAAGATAATTAATTTGATTTATTATATATGTAAAACCGAAAAGAAATACAAAAGTTATCAACTTTTAAAATATATTTGCAATTCAACGGTTATAAAAGGAAATGATATTAAAATACATTAAATACAAATATTAATTTATATACAAGTCTAACTCCAAAGCATGATTTTTTGCCAAATAAGATTCCGAAGCATGAGAGTTTGTCACGTAGGCTCAGCGCATTCTAAAACTATATATAAAGGGGATATATATGTAAGAATGATGCTCAATGAAAGAAATAAGAATAAATCTTAACCACTAAATCTATTCACCAAGAGAAAAAAGAAAAAATAAAGTCAAATTTTTACACTCAGTAAGAGTAATATGGACATTCATCAGCCACCCACATCAGTGGGCCTTACCCCACACATCCCATCCCTAGTTGTCTCTCTCTCCCTCTCTCTCTCTTTCCCTCACACACACACCCACACTCACTCACACGCACATACATACAGACAAACATAAGCACGCACGCACACACACACACACACAGAGCAACAACCTCGACTCATATTTCGCCAGCCACTCCACCACCGCCGCCGGAGCATCCCTGCCACTGCCAGAGCCCACTGACCCACCTCCGCTAAAGTCCCTGGCACGAACAGAATCATACCACCGCGCTATGAGACAATAAAATCTGGAGAATGAGTCATTAAAGGATTATGCAGACATTTAAGGACGATATCGAGCGGTTGATAAAAGCGGAACACCTGAAGAAGTTATATATAAGGACAGAGAAGAGGGCAAGGTCGATGAGAGGAAAAGAACAAAAGACCTAGATCACCTACTGATAAGGAAAAGCTCCCACCTAAAAGAGGAGTGATCTAGATGATTTCATTTGGATCAACAGATGAAGACTCTAACTGGGTAAGGAAAGCGTATGCTAGGAATCACAAGGTGGAGGTAAATCAGGTCGCAGTCATGGGGACAATGCTAAATTTTGGACTTATTGACATGGAGGAGGTCGAGAGCCACACAACAATTCCCTGGTAGTGTCCGCAGAAGTCACCCGATACGAAGTTCAACGGGTTTTTGTTGACACAAAGAGTTCAGTTGATGTTATCTTCTACGATTGCTTTGAAAAGATGGACCAAGATGTCGAGATATCAAAGCAGTAAACACGACCTTGTACAAATTTAATGAAGCAGAGGTCGCTTCAATTTGAGAGGTAATGTTGCCGGTGGTGTTAGGGAAGAAAAGCGTCGTCAAGGAGCTCGGCCACGTCCGATGGCGCGACTGGACTTGGGCAACGGTGTGGTGGCGCATGAGCCATTTGGCCTGGTTGTTGTTTGGCGGAGGACAATCATGGCGAGGGGAGGCGGTAGAGTCGGATGAGGGAGGCTCTGTTTGTGTTTGTGTGTGCGTGTGTGCGCGAGAGAGAGCAAGAGAAATAGAGCGAGATAGAGAGAGAGAGAGATATATATATAAAGGGTGGGGCCCACGTGATGTAGCATTAGTGAAAGATAAATGTCCAATATAACATTTAATAGTATATAATGAGTACATATAGGGAAGGATCGTAGGAGTATTGACCTAAGTCAGGAGGAAGACGACCTGATTCACTAGTGAAGGCAAACCCCAGAACGACAACAGAGACCCCACTACTACATCTAGAAGGACGACCTGGTCCATTGCAACCTATAAACACTTGAACCACGACAAGTTACCAGGAGGGCATGTCAAGGTAAAGACCTAATCGGATCCAAAGGGGACCTAATGAGGATAAGAAGAAATCTATTGATGATAAGAATGACATTAGAATAAGATTAAGCCTCGGGCAGATCAAGCAGCCCAATCTTGGGCACCAAGACATTCCCTTATAAAAGGGCTTGAGGTACCACTGTAAAACATCTACATTCTAAACACTTTACATTCTCTACTTACAGAGCTTATTATCGCATTCCCTATGCTAACTTGGGCATCGGGGTGCTAACACCGAGAGACCCTTATAGCTCTTTTTGCAGGCAACCGGTTATTTTTAGACGATCAGAGCTCTACAAGTGGTTCGCCTCATATCTANTCAATTAACTATGAAAACAAACTGTTATATTTTATACTAATTAATTTTAATATTATTTTTGACATTTAGGCCTGTTTCCACCTGATTTGTCTTCTCTTCCTCTGAGGTTTTTTTGTATTACTTGTCCTCTTACACCTCTCCCATAGCCAGTTCATTCCTTTATTACCAACTTGTGTGGCTGTGTTAGCAGCTAGTTGTGAGCTATCTTCAATGCCAGTTGCCTTCTCAAGAGATTCAATCCTAGCCTCAAAGCTTTGGATGACTGAGTAGGCTTCAATCAAAGAGCATTTGTCAGCTCTAAAGGTAATAGACACCACCACTGAGTTGTATTCTGCACCAACGCCAGCTTGTAGGTAAAGGATCTGATTACTTTATGTGGCTTGATGTCCAGCCATGCCAAGCATATCACAAATTCCTTTCATTTTATTAAAATACTCTCTTACTTTCATGCTTCCTTTCTTTAGAATTTGAAGTTCCATTCTCAGCTGCATAAGTTTGGCCTGACTTTGGCTAGCAAAGTTGGTCTTCAGGCAGATCCAGATCTCTTTTGACGAGCTTAGTCCAACGATTGTGATGAGTGTGTTTTCAAACAACGAGGAGAGGAGCCAAGATGCTATGAGTTGATCTTGTCTCATCCAGTTGAAGAAACTAGGGCTGATGACCGTATTGGTCTCTTCTTCAGCATTTGTTGTTGCGATGAATTTTTTAGAAGATGGTGTGCCTCATGTGATGTATCCTTTGAGACCATAACCTCTAAGCGCTGTTATGACCTGCTACTTCCAGAGCAAGTAATTTTCTTAATCTTGTTTAATAGATGCCAGTTGACTTTGAAGTTGGATGATGGCTTCACCAAGATTGGGTGTTGGTATAGTGGCTGCCATCATTTAATGGTTTGCAGCTGAAAGAAGAAAGGCAGAAAAAGGGAAAATGAAGCTAGAAATGGTAGGATCGTTTGGCTCTGGTACGGTAAAGAAAACCAACCATTTGTGTTAGCATTGAGATCAACAAGAAGGAAAGGAGATCAGACATAACCTCAAAAATGCTCATTTCTTCATCGAATGCGGCTGTAGCCTTACAAGCTATTTATATCAGCATTCTACACGTGATCATAAGCGTAATATGTACTATCCAACCCTAGCAAGCTACAAGACAAGAGACAACTAACATAGGAACCTATTCTAGGTTTGATGGCATCTATATCATGCCATCTTAGTATGGCTTGGTTGACTGCAGGTCAATGCTTCTAATATGCATATGCATAATATTGTGTCTTAGTTTACATTAGTTGCTCTGCATATATGTTTTATTCAATGAGTAATAATTAACGCACATTCTCTATATTTCTTTCTTGAACAATTTCAAATAATTTGTACCTACCTTCTTTATCGAATTTATTATCGTTAAATTAACACGTTTATACGGCAAAATATTCGATGAGAACAGTACTGTCACGGTCAATTAAATCTGACAAACTCATATAACTCTAACTACTACCCACCTAATTATCCTTGTTCTAATATCAAATTAATTAACAATCATATTCTTTGTCTCATATTTATTAACAATTTCCTTGTTAAAACAAATTTATTTTCTCAATATTTGTCCAATTGCACGTCAAGTGGTGAAACCCAGCAACTGCAGTGCACTCTACGTAGCGACGGTGCACGTTAGGGACTGTAGGTGCAAGCAATCTATCTTGCGCGCACATTGAATTTGTCCCAAATCCAGAAAACCTAATAACCTCCCAATCCCCACATCAAATCTCACGCATTCGCTCTCTGCTTGCCCCTTTTGGACTCCCGTCCTTCTGTGCAATTGAATTCAGAGGTTTTCTTCTCTTCCTTGTGCCTTCATCTTCATCGTGCTTCTAAGATTCTGTCTGAGTTTTGTTCATATTTTGATAAGATTCTAATTAAAGAATCAATGTAATTTATTTCGGTGAAGAAAACCCATGAATTTTTTCCACTGGACTCTGTGCATTTGAATCTTAATCACATGTTGGTGCATTGGCTAGTGCTTTTTGCTCGTGCTGTTCAAATCTTACGAGGTTGACTACATTCTCCAGAAGCTATGGTGATGTTTTGAATACTTGAGTGGTATAATGAAGAATGTGAAGGTACCCAAGTGGCTTGAACAGTTGCCTTTGGCGCCTGAATTTCACCCGACCGACACAGAATTTGCGGACCCAATTGCTTACATATCCAAGATAGAGAAAGAGGCGAGTGCTTTTGGTATATGCAAAGTAATCCCGCCATTGCCGAAGCCCTCAAAAAAGTATATACTTCGTAATTTGAATAGATCACTCTCCAAGTGTCCCGAATTGGGTTCTGATGTAAATCTTGTTAATGTAGATAGTGATGTGAGGCATAACTGTGATAGGACCGTGAATAATGGGGAGAATAGGGCTGTTTTCACCACAAGACAGCAAGAATTAGGATGTGAGAAGGGAAAGAAGGTAAAAGGGGCTGCTGAACCGCAAAAGCAAGTCTGGCAAAGTGGGGAGGTTTATACTATCGAGCAATTTGAGGCTAAGTCAAAGAATTTTGCTAGGAGTCAGCTGGGCACGGTTAAAGATGTGAATCCTTTAGTTATAGAAGCTATGTTCTGGAAAGCAGCGTCTGAAAAGCCCATATACGTGGAGTATGCAAATGATGTGCCGGGCTCGGGATTCGGTGAGCCAGAGGGTTCATTGCGCTATTTCGCCAGACGTAGGAGGAAAAGAAGGAAGAGGAATTCATTCGATAGGAATTTTGTAGGAAAATCCGATAGCAAGAATGATGGAGTAGATGAAGTAAATAGAACTAGAGATGATAGAGATTCGGGCAGCCAGAATTTTCCTAATTTGAATACAGTTGCATCTTCAAATTTAGTTCCTTCTTTTTGTGGCCGAAAGGATTTTCAAGGTGGGGATGAAATGGAAGGTACGGCCGGCTGGAAGCTTTCGAACAGTCCTTGGAATTTACAGGTGATAGCTCGGTCTCCAGGTTCTTTGACCCGTTTCATGCCTGATGATATCCCTGGTGTTACATCTCCAATGGTTTATATTGGGATGTTGTTCAGCTGGTTTGCATGGCATGTCGAGGACCATGAGCTTCACAGCTTGAATTTCCTTCACATGGGCTCTCCAAAGACTTGGTATTCAGTCCCTGGAGATCATGCTGTCAATTTTGAGGAGGCCATTCGCGTGCATGCCTATGGAGTTGATGCTGACCGGATGGGTATGTTCCTATTTCGTGCTTTATATGGACAATGCGATTAACCCTGTTGATAAGTGGACCTGCTAACTTCTAGGTTCTGTTTCTTAGATATTTGCTCTTGGTAACTGTTAGTATTTTTATTTTAGTCCTCTCAGATACAATTGTGTTGTGATTTTCAGTCGCTCTATCTCTCTTGGGGGAAAAGACTACTGTGTTGTCTCCTGAGATCATTGTATCATCAGGCATCCCGTGTTGCAGGTGGGTGGTCTTTTAAATTACCAGTGCAATTTCTGCTTTTCACTCTTCTGCTGATTCGAAGAAGTGCTTTTATTATTAATTTGTTGTACAGGACCATAAATTGACTATTACATTTTACTGGACTGTATTCGGTTATAACGATAAGCTGTTACTACTTTAGGTTGGTGCAGAATCCTGGTGAATTTGTGGTGACTTTTCCCAGAGCTTATCACATAGGATTCAGCCATGGTAAATAGTTTCTGTTTTCAAGTCTTCTTGCTGGCATATTTAATTTCAAAAGTATTTGTGTTGTGTTGATAATTTTCAATACACAATGTTTAGTGAAATCTCTTTGAGCCCTTAAGAATATAAGACTATAGTCTGATGTCGTCTGTTCCCAGTGACAGGTAGTGCTGAGGCAAAAAGCTACCATGTTTATGTGGCAAAAGGCATGGCAGATCCAAATAAGTGTAAAAATTTATATACGTACACAAACACTTGAACTGCAGCAATTGCAAATATTATTGCTCATACATCAGAATATCGTAAATTATATTAATAACCTAATTTAGAGGTTCAAACCTTGAAAATAGCTACATAATGTGTAAGATACTGATTTAAACCAGAGCACCAAAAGTCATGACAACTGAGCAAAAAAATGATGGGAAGCAAGGACATTTATCACTAAGAAATAAATTTGAGCGCAAATAAAATAAAATGAAGCAAAGGTAGCCAAATGATAAGAAACCGGAGTACAATGAAATAGAGAGGTAATGGGGGAGCAAAACTGAGGGGAAAAGAAAGTGGTTCATCGGAGGCTAGGTCACCATAGGTTGTCCTGCCATATTCTCTCTGTTCACCGTTTTATGTTTGTGTGATTATAACTAGGGCAAAGCTAGGGTTTTTCTGGGTTACATTAGGGGGAAAACGATCTTTTGGGGCCTTTCTTTAAGTTGGGTATTATTCATAAAGGCTGGCTAAAGATTTCTGATGGGGTTTTCCCCTTTTTACATAGTTTCTGTCATTGTTGCTTTAGCAAAACCTCCACACGGCCGCCTTGAAATGGCAGTCCGTGTATTTCTGCCATGCCTTGATGGCTCTTTGACAACACTGCTGATGACACTTTTATTAAAGACACCTCAGGTTATTATCTTAGTATAATTTATGACATTACCAAAGAAAAATACTGAATATAAAGTTATTAAGCCCTTCAGTTATTGATTGAGCAATTAATGGTTATGATATTTGCTATCAAGGCGTACCTGATCCTTTCATAAGGCGGTGTTTCTTTGGGTATTTATTTATCCTCAATTCAATATCATGCTTTCCTTTTCCTTTGGAATTCGAATATAGGTTTTAATTGTGGGGAAGCTGCTAATTTTGGAACACCACAATGGCTTTCCATAGCTAAGGAAGCTGCTGTTCGCAGAGCTGCCATGAATTATCTCCCTATGCTTTCTCATCAACAGCTGTTGTACTTGCTGACAATGTCTTTCATTTCAAGGTTAGAAATACTTGTGTTCATGCTATTCTCCGGAGGAGATTGATTTTATGTATATAATATGTTTTCCCCTGATATAGTATAATTGCAGTTGGCACCAAATATTGTTGTTTTTGTAATGCCAAGACTTGATGGAGGCTGCTAATGCTATTTTAAGTTTTTTCTCTTTCTTACCTTTGAAGTGGAACTGTGTCGAGTTCAAGTTTATACATGTGATTGTCTTGTGCTCTGTTGAGTTGTTCGTGGGGCTGCTAATGGTTGTGTTGTATTTATATGCTTCAAATTCCAAAAAAAAAAGAAAAAGAAAAAAATGTACCTCATCCCTTGACTTCTTGCTTTTCTGCCTTAGTGATCCCAGTAGCATAACAGATGCTTTAATTATACTGTCAAAATTTTGATAAAAGTGGGTCCTACTGAATTACAGAATGCCAAGGTCCTTATTGCCAGGGGTACGAAGCTCGCGTTTGAAAGATCGTCAAAAGGAGGAAAGAGAACTGTTGGTAAAGAGAGCATTTATTGAGGATATCTTGCACGAAAATCGTCTCTTGACCGTTCTTCTTCGAAGAAACTCCTCTTGTCGAGCAGTATTATGGGATGTTGAATCAATGCCGTCATCAGCTAAAGAGACTAAAGTCTACATGGAGAAAGATGCTGACTTATTCGCATCAGCAGGAAAAGTCTTTCCTGAAAATGATGATAACTTACATGAAGTCAGCCAGCTGGATGATTATATTGATGCCATTGGATTTGATCTTAATGATGATGGTTTGCCGTACAAATTTCAGATAGAGTCTGGGACTTTACCTTGTGTAGCTTGTGGTATTCTTGGTTTTCCATTTATGACTGTTTTGCAACCCTCTGATAAATCATCAGTTGATCTCCTTTCCAATCTTGGAAATGTTGTAGAGGGGTCTGCCAAAGGTGTGAACCGAAAACCTCAACTTGTTTGTTTTAATTATTATTATTATTATTATTAGGAACCCTGCTTATATTTTATTGATCATAATCTCAGCATGAATTATGAAGATGTGTTATTGTTTATGTATGTCTTTCTTGGCTTGACATGCAAAATGTTCTTGTACATTCTTAATGTTGTTAGCGTGGAAACTCAGCATGAAGTGGTAATATCATTCTATTGGTAATAATATCTCCAATTTGTATTTGTTCTTTTCCTTCAGATGCAAAGTAATATTTTAGAGTTGCGTATCTTGAAAACCCTGGAATAGATTTACTTTGGCAATCGAGAATGTGAAAATTAAATTTTGTCCTGACATTTTCTTTTATTAGATGCTGCTGACAAAGCTAAGTTAAACAAGAAGGTTCTCCACCATGTAAATGCAGATTCATCAGTGGCAGAAACAAGTCATTTTACGGTATCTTCAAAAGCCGAGACTGTCAGTGAATGGAACACTTCTGATATAACTCTAAAGCCACGGATTTTCTGCCTGGAGCATGCGATTGAAATTGAAAAGCTATTGAGTTCAAAAGGCGGAGCTAATATTCTCGTGATATGTCATTCAGGTAAATGTAGGCTTTAGGTTTTGAATAATTAGTCTGTTTATGTGCATGTGCTCGTCACGTATTAGCATGCGAATATTATCCATGACATTAAAACAAAGAAAAAAGTCCTGCTTTTTAAAGTTTCAGTATTCGTAAACAAATGAAAATCTCACATGGGTATTTGTAATTTAAAAAAATTGTGTCACTTGTAATTTTGCTAGACCTCAACGATTGTTACATTTTTATGGCACGTAAATTATTTTATATTTTGCATGCGCATTATCACTATACTGATCGTCTCTCTACAATTTTCTAGACTTTCAGAAAATAAAAAGCCACGCTGCATCCACTGCAGAGGAAATCGGCCTTCCTTTCGGTTACACCGAAATACCACTTGTGAATGCCTCTCAGCAAGATCTGAACTTAATCGATATTGCTATTGCTCAAGAAGAAAAAGCCAATCATGCAGATGAATGGACGTCACGTTTGAGCATCAATTTGCAGCACTGTGTGAGGGTCAAAAAGAGCACCCCTTCAAAGAACGTTCAGCATTTATTGGACCTTGGCGGGTTGTTTTGTGATGCATTGTCTCAAATTTCAAATGCGTCCGTCATAAAATGGGTGTCGAAAAAATTGCGGTCAAATCGTTTTTCGAAAAAAGTTCAGTCTGGTGTACAATCTGAGGAGATGAAAACAGGAGAAGAAGATGATTTTACGGCTAAGAAAGAGATAAAAATCATACATTATACGAGAAAAAGGTTCAAGGCTCGTGCTTGTGCAGAAAAATCGGGCCCCGATGACATAATTGGTAATTCAAGTCGAAATTCTGAGGCAAAAGAAGTCAAGGTAGCTGATGTAAGCTGTCAAAATCATGAGACTCGTTGTTATGAGGCTTTTAACTCAAACTCTTATGAAATTCAAGTAAATGAAATCCCGAGAGATGAAGTGAATGAGCCTGCTCTATCAAACTGTATGGATGAAATTGAAAATGCCTTTACTCAATCACAGCCTGATGAGCAGCTGGAAGAGAAAATTATCTCTGAACATACAGAGACTGTAAATGAATCAACCTCAACATTAATCGAAGAACATAATAAAGACAAAAATGTCTTTTTTTTCGTTGGGAATAAAGTTGCAGATTATGAAAAGGCCACGGTTCAGGCTGAACGAAGTGCGAAGACTGTAAGCAAAAGGAAAAGAAGAGAAGTAGATATGCTTTCGTCCGAGTCTGACCAATTCGATTTTGGCGGTTTTATTAGGAGCCCATGTGAGGGTTTGAGGTCTAGAGCAAGACCAGAAAAAACGAGAAGCGGAAAAAACACAAATCTCTCAATCACTTCAAAGAACGAGAAGAAGCAGCTGCAAATGGGTCGTTATAAATGTGAGTTAGATAATTGCACCATGAGTTTCCAAACGAAACCCCAATTAATCCTGCACAAAGGAAATCGATGCCCAGTCCAAGGCTGTAGGAAAAGATTCAACTCGCACAAATATGCAGTGCAGCATGCACGTGTTCACGATGACGACAGGCCTTTGAAATGCACCTGGGCCGGTTGTACAATGTCGTTTAAGTGGGCCTGGGCCCGAACCGAACATTTAAGGCTGCATACTGGGGAAAGGCCATATACGTGCAAAGTGGATGAGTGTGGGCTTACTTTCAGGTTTATGTCTGATTATAGTCGGCATAGGCGTAAAACAGGGCATTTTGCAGCATGAAAAATGTGTTTGTTGTGGGGAAGGGAAGTTCTTTTTAGTGATCTCGAGCAAAAAGGAGCTCGAAAATCGGCATAAGTTAGAAATTTGCATGGTGATAGTTTGTTAGGAGAACTGGGACTGATTTGCATTGTGTAAAGTAGGGAAAACTGTACTTTTGTTGTTCACCTTGAAAATGTTCTTTTGTATGTGCGATGGATTAGATGGGAAAATGTAAAATATTTTGTCTTTTGAAGTTTTATTTTGTGATTGGAGGAATAGTAGGAAGGACTTTCTTTTATCATGCCTTACTTGAGAGGCCCTAAATTAACGATTAGTCTATCAAGCTTTGTCTCCTCGAGATGGCTCATGGGGTGATCGGATTTTTTAGGGTTGATGTTAATTAGTTCCTTTTGTTATTGGAGCAGATCCTGAAATCGTTTTTTCTAATATTTGGGGTGAAAATAGGGGCAAAGCAAAGACATGGGGAAAAAAAACTGAAATTCAAAATTCTTTTTTACACCCAAATAATTGAACTTCACCAAAATGCACGGTTTAGCTTATTTTTGGGCTTGCCTCAATTTGTTTGTGCATTTATATTTAATTTGGTGCAGTCAATAATAAATCGTACCGAACCAAAAAATACCAAAATATGAAGTTTTTAATAATAATAATTAAATCACATCGATACAAAATCAAATTGAAACGAAATCAAACAAAAAATTAGACCGCACCCATGCTACACGATCAGGTTGATTTTTCTATTTCGGTTTGGTTTTGCTCTCAACCTATGTGAAAATAGCACCAACTGAAAGTTTCAAATGCAAAGTCGAGCGAGATACACTTACACACGAGGTTACTAATAGTAAGTACTGTACTATATAGTAGTTTAAAATCATCTCACTTTTTCTCTTTTTTTTTTTTTCAATGATTTTAATGTAATTTTCAAGTAAAAAATAATTTTTACTATATATCCATCTATAAATTTTTTAAATTATCCACTCACAAATTATTTACTATCATTTGAATATATAACTAGTGAGCAACCCGTGCGATGCACGGTGAGGCTTGTTCCTCAAAACCTATTTAAAACTTTATTTTTAAATATAATTACTAAAGTTTAAACATTTTATTTTGGCAAAAAAATAGATACAGAGTATGAAAAATCATATATTGTTGAACAGTTCCCTATACACAATATTTTTTATTTGAATATGTGGCAAACTTTCTTGTCAACAAATTAAAATTTTCAAACAATTGTGTGAAAAAAATTAAATTATAATATATTATTTATAGTGTAAGAAATCGTAATATATTATTTTAGTGTGATAAAATGTGTTGGGATAACTATGACCATTTGAAAAAATATTTAATAGTAATCTTAAAACTTTAATAAATTTAAAAAGATAAATATGACCATTTGAAGAAATATTTATTTGTAATCTTAAAATTTTAAATTTTGATAAATGATTGTATATATGCGCCAAGTTTTTAGGAACCAATT